AATGATATAGTCAAATGTCTTGGTCAATCAACAGAAGGGTCGTTATTTGTGGATGACTTCTTGATCTGTTACAGATCTAAGAACATGCACACGATAGAACGACAACTTCAACAGAGTTTAAACAAACTACAAAATTGGGCAGACGAAAACGGCTTCAAATTCTCTAAATCCAAAACTGTGTGCATGCATTTCTGTCAAAAACGAAAAGCACACAATGACCCAAATCTAACACTCGATGGCACTAGAATTCCTGTTGTTGAACAGACTAAATTTCTCGGCCTCATTTTTGATTCGAAACTCTCTTTCATACCACATATAAAGTATCTGAAGGATAAGTGTTCCAAGGCGTTAAACATTATACGAGTCCTTTCTCATACTGATTGGGGAGCGGATCGTGAAATGCTTTTGCGCCTATACAGATCACTTATTCGAACAAAACTGGATTATGGTTCTATGGTATACGGGTCAGCGCGCAGTTCGTACCTTCAGATGCTAGATCCAATCCATAACCAAGGGCTACGTCTTGCCCTGGGAGCTTTTCGAACAACACCTGTAAAAAGCCTGTACGTGGAAGCAAATGAACCATCCCTTTATGACAGAAGAATAAAACTTTCATTACAATTTGCAACTCAATTAAAATCAAACCCTAAAAATCCTGCTTTCAACCAAGTATTCAACCCCAAATACCAAAACATATTTACGCAAAACCAAAAACTTCTGCCAACATTTGGTATCCGAATTTTGAATTTCCTGCAAGAACTCAACATAAAATTGACGGACATAGCTGAATTTAACATATCTGATGTTCCTCCGTGGACCATTCAAACCCCCGATTTTAACTTTACATTACATGAGCGAGGGAAATCAAGTGTTATGCCCGAAGAACACAAATCCTCCTTTCGGGAATGCATTTCGAATTACCCTTCTCATACACAACTTTACACCGATGGCTCCAAAGAAGGTGAGAAAGTGGCAGCAGCCTGCTGTACTGCCAATACTTGCACTTCAGTCCGACTACCAGACGGCGCCTCCATCTTTTCTGCTGAAGCATGCGCCATTGGTTTGGCCCTCGACCATATCGATGAACACCGCATTAAAAAGGCAATTATTTGTTCAGACTCTCTATCTGTCCTACAGAGTTTACAGTTACGAGATCCTAAAAACACAATCGTACAAAACCTTGCTCTTCGAATATCTCGTATATTAAAAAAGTCTAAAATAACTTTACTATGGATTCCGAGCCATGTCGGAATAAAAGGCAACGAATTTGCTGACAGGGAAGCAAAAAATGCATTGAATCTCGAACAAACAAATATCAAACTACCATACACAGATTTTAAACCTACTATTCGTACAGCCATTCAAAATGAATGGCAGAAACGCTGGTCTCTGGAGACCAACAACAAACTTTTTAAGATACAACCGAAACTTAAAACATCTATTCCCAGTCGGAAAGATCGTAGAGAGGAAGTTGTCCTCGCTCGGCTCCGCACTGGGCACACATATCCTACTCATTCGTACCTTTTAAAACGAGAAGATATACCTTCATGCCACGCATGTGACACTCCATTTACAGTGGAGCATTTTTTAATAGAATGTTCCGATTTTAAACACATTCGTGATAACTACTTCCGAGTCCCGGATATGAAAACACTTTTCAGTTCCGTGGATTCGAAGGCATTATTTAACTATTTGAAAGACATCGGGCTATTTTATAGACTCTGATGTCTTTTAACCCACCTTATCATTTTTGACGTTATATATATATCGCATATTCCATATCATCTATTCGTTATCTCTTTTATTATTTTAACTCCCTTTTATTTTATTTTTTTATTATCTATACATACAATGCGAATACTTTTAAAATGAACCATTTTATCTTATTTTATCTTCGCTATTCACATGTTTGTTAAAAAAGTAAAATAAATAAATAAATCACCATGGCCCTAAATGACCACAGCCGTCGATGGGCCGTTAAACTTAAACATAAACATAAACATAAAAAAATCTTCCAAAATGTTATTGCCCTCCGAATTTACTTTGGCATTTTAGGTTTAAAAAATCCCCTGTCTGGAATTTACAATCTTTGCTGAATGACAAAAAAGGGCAAATAAAAAGAGGACTAACATTTTTAGGTCACCTGAGCTTTAGCATGGCCACAGCCGCCATTTTGAAAAACTATTTCAAACTTAAAGTCAAGTTCTACTGGGCCGATTGAGCTGAAACTTTGTAGGAATGATCGACTCATGGTCCTGACAAAGTGTTGTTATTTTTCGAGTTGATCAGAAATGCAATATGGCCTAAAAGGCCACCATTTTGAAAAAACTATTTCAAACTTAAAAACAAGTTCTAATAGGCCAATTTAACTGAAACTCGGTCTAGGAATGATCAGCTCATGGTCCTGACAAACTTAAGTTAACGTTATACTTAACTATTTTGTACTCAAATTGGTACGTATTTCAACAACAAAAATAAATACTGTAGGACTCGGATGACCGTTTAGGCCCATGGGCCTCTTGTCTGTTTTACTGTTGTTATTAATTTTCTTAATGGTATTTCCATTTCACTTGAACCTCAGTTTTCTAAAATTCTAAAAAAAGCATTTCCTAATTATATCAATTTAACATTGCTGAAATATGTATAAAGATATACCAGGACCCTCCGACTTCAGGAGTTCAAGAATTGTAATGTTTAAATCATGGATGGGAAGTAAAAGTCCATGAAAACTGTTGAAGCTAAATGTAATCCTCAATACTCCAGGGGTTACGCTCACTCACACTCTCTGCACCCCTGGAATACATGTATGTCATTACAAAATCGAAGGCTCAGTGTGCATTACCTTGTGGATGATACAAGAAGACTAGTTTGATCTTTTGATGTACAACAAAATATTCTAACAGTAGCATAATGATAATATTGATTTTATATAAACTTTATTTCATTCCACATTAAGTTCCATGACACCACATAACATACAAAATACAGAGGAATGGGATCCAGAAACAAGTTGAAATAACTTATATAAATCCGTTTCCGATAATAATATTGAGTTGCTTTGGGGTTGGATGTCGCTCCTCTGTAGTATTCAAAGGACAGGTGTCAGCCTAGTGATTGGCGAGATGGTTTTACCCAAGACCAAGCTGCGTGCCTTCAGTTCTGTTATGACATACTGGTATTACCGGGATGCAGAGAGTGAAGTACATGAACACCGTCCCTGGAATATCGTTGATGCTCAATGTAAAATAAGGCAATGATTTGATTCAGCTGGTCAAAAGGTCTCTTCATCATCTGCCTCCCATATATAAAATCATTTTTTATTAGTTACCAAATGATATGTACCAGTACTCAAAAATATTTGTGACTTTTTGAAAAATGTTTCAATTTCAGTAAAATTGCAGGAGGAAAAGACGAGACTCGAGGAGGAAAATGAATTTGAGCAAAAGGAAAGAATGAGGCTGGAGAAACAATTGATGAGACTGGGGAATGATTTTGAGAATGAGAAAAAGAAAAGAAAAATCCTTCAACAAAAGCTCAACGAAAGGGAAGGGGAAAGCATGTTGAGATCAAATTGATAAAGTTAATGCTCAGGACTTTGTTGAACGTCACGCATAATAATTTGTTAACTGCTTTGAGACAACCCTAAGTTGTGATAAAGCTGTATATAAGAACCTCAAATTATTATTATTATGAACAAGATTTGTTGATTTTATAACAAGTAGCATGTAAATCAATAATTTTTCATAAACACTCATAACTCTTAGAAAAATATTCATCAACGTCAAAAAATGATGTTTTATTCTAAACAATAATGTAATGAAAAATTGATTTAAGGGAAAGGGTTCCACTTTATCCATTATAAGTGCAAAAAGAGTCTCACTCCTATATAGATCTTGGATTTTACAGATCATGTTTCTCAAAAAGTATTCAACAGTCCTTCCTCCAATTTTTGTCTCGCCTGCGACAGATGTTGCGGAGGCGTCCGGGTGTTACTTTTCCGGCGGCTACGGTTTTTGCGTTTAGATTTATTTCTCAGAAAGTATAAGTGCTAGACCAACCAAACTTGGACCATACATGTGTCTTATATACTTTACCTCAATGAATCCATGCATCAGTTGCTGAATGTGCCCTACATGACTTTGACAGCATCTTCATCCATGTTAAGTTTTTGCGTTTATCATAAAGTATAAGTGCTAGAACAACCAAACTTGGACCGTACGTGCATCTTATATTCATAACCCATTGATAATAAATCATGCATGATATGCTGAATGTGGCCTACATTTCGCGGTCCAGTGACTTTCACAGCATCTTCCTCAATATAAAGTTTTTAGCTTGTCTATTCCTAACTGGTCGAAATTCAGTTATTGTTCGATTTCGCTAAAAATCAGATCATAGATCGCAGCATCCATTTTCTGATCTGACAAGATGGTAGCCGTATGTTGGCTTCTGATTAATCGAAATTCAGTTATTGTTAAATTTCGCTTAAATTTGATATATAAATGTATCTTGGCACTATGAACTCAACAGTGACTTCTGTTTTAAGCTCACCTGGCCCGAAGGTTCAAATAAATGACCTTCATCAATTTTCAAGGTCACAGTGGTAAAATATGTTAAAATCTTCAAACAACTTCTTCTGAATAACCGAGAGGCCTAGGTTGATGATATTCGGCCAGTAATACATGACCTCGACATATATTCAAGGTCACAGGGGTCAAATATGTTTAAAACCTTTAAACAACTTCTTCTGAATAACCGAGAGGCCTAGGGTGATGATATTTGGACAGTAACATGCTGGGATGAAGGGCTACCAAGTTTGTTCAAATAAATGACTTCAAATCATATTCAAGGTCACTGGGGTCAAATATGTTAAAAACATTTAAACAACTTCTTCTAAATAACCGAAACAGCTAGGGTGATGATATTTGGCCAGTAACATGCTGAGATGAAAAGCTACCAAGTTTGTTCAAATAAATGACTTTGAATCATATTTAAGGTTGCTGGGGTCAAATATGTTAAAAACATTTAAACAACTTCTTCTAAATAACCGAAACAGCTAGGGTGATGATATTTGGCCAGTAACATGCTGGGATGAAAAGCTACCAAGTTTAATAAAAAAAAAATGACCTTGATTTATATTCAAGATCACAGGGGTCAAATATGTTAAAAACATTTATACAACTTCTTCTGAATAACAGAAACAGCTAGGGTGATGATATTTGGCCAGTAACATGCTGGGATGAAGGGCTACCAATTTTGTTCAAATGAATGACCGTGAATCATATTCAAGGTCACTGGTGTCAAATATGTTAAAATATTTAAACAACTTCTGAATAACCAATAGGCCTAGGATGATGATATTTAGCCAGTAGCATGCGGCAATGAGGGCTACCAAGTTTGTTTAAATACATGACATTGACTTATATTCAAGGTCACAGGGGTCAAATATGTTTAAACCTTTAAACAACTTCTGAATAACCGGAGGAGCTAGGGTAGTCATATTTGGCCAGTAATATGCTGGGATGAAAGGCTACCAAGTTTGTTCAAATAAATTACTTTAAATCATATTCAAGGTCACTGGGGTCAAATATGTTAAAAACAAATTAAACAACTTCTTCTGAATAACCAAAATGCCCAGGGTAATGCTATTTGGCCAGTAGCATGCTGTGATGAAGGGCTGCCAAGTTTGTTCAAAAAAATGACCTTGACTGATATTCAAGGTCACAGGGGTCAAATATGTTTGAAACCTTGAAACAACTTCTTCTGAATAACAAAGAGGCCTAGGATGATGCTTTTAAAATCTTCAAACAACTTCTTCTCAATAACCAAAAGACACAGGGTACTGATATTTGGCCTGTAGCATGCTGGGATGAAAGGCTACTAAGTTTGTTCAAATGAATAACCTTGACCCACTTTCAAGGTCTAAGGGTCAAATGTCTTTAAACAACATCCAACGACTTCTTCTCAATAACCAAAAGGCCCAGGGTACTGATATTTGGCCTGTATCATGCTGGGATGAAGGGCTACCAAGCTTGTTCAAATGAATGACCTTGACCTTCTTTCAAGGTCACAGGGGTTAAATGTCTTAAAATCTTCAAACAACTTCTTCTTAATGACCAAAAGACACAGGGTACTGATATTGGGCATGTAGCATGCTGGGATGAAGGGCTATCAAGCTTTTTCATTTGAATGACCTTGAACCACTTTCGAGGTCACATTTACTCAAATATGTTTAAACATTTGAATGACTTAATTTTAATAAACAAAAGGATAGGTAGGTGATGTTTTACAAAGTTGCATCCTGAGATAAAGGGCTATAAGATTTGTTTCAACATAATGACCTTGTTCGACTTTCAAGGTCACAGGAGTGAAATATTTCTAAATCTTTCAACAGGTTGTTTTGAATTACTTTTAATCATAAATACTGATATTTTGCCTTAAGCTTTATTTAAGATCACTTTTAAGGTTACAAATGTGAGATGTATACCAGGTGAGTGATGCAGGCCCATTGGGCCTCTTGTTAAAATCAGCTTGATATTTGACTGTTGGTGCAACCTCTAAGAAAGCGCCTCCCACTTCGCACATATGGTTAATTATGGAACAGCCGTTTACATATGTTGATACATATCAACCATTTTATTTGCCAAATCTCGCTGGTTTTGCATCCAATTTACGGTGGTTGTATTCTCATTATATTGTCCCATGATTGTTGGCTGTGATATTACTGATACAGGGACATTTGCTTTGTTAGTGATTTGAAGATGTTTTGATAGAATGTGTATAAAGATATGTAAATAGCATTATGTATAGTAATTGTTGATTGCAGCATTTTTCCTCAGGTGTGAGTAGATTTGAGCCTTGTTAGTCTAGTCACAACTAAATGGGTTGGCCAACTGCCTAGTCAGTGTTTTGAGGACCCGTTTCCATTTTAAGTCAACAGTCACCAGATAGTGGTGCTGATCAAATTGGCATTTGTCCTTGGTACATTTCCATGGAACATTGTCCATCCATCCTAAAACAAGGAATGATTATTAGATTTTAAACGAAACTTTCCCTTTGTCCAGACGTGCATTCTTTCATTTGGAGACTGATTGGAAAATTAAGATGGTTGCCAGACAGCCATCTTGGACATTGACAGTTCAAATTGTTATTGATATTCCTCAAGAAGTGTTTGAAAGATCTTTCTCAAGTTTAAGATGTAGGTTTCCCTTAGTCCATAATTGTGCACATTTCATTTTGAGCCTAGTAAAAAAACAAAAAAACAGATATGGCTGCTTGGCATATGTGATTTTGACAGTTCAAGCTTGTTATCATTACTTTTCATGAAGTAAACAATGACCTCACTTTGAAAGGACACTCAAACCCAGCATTATGAAATTTTAATCAAACTTTTATACCACAAGATGCAATTACTGTTGACAAGACTATTAATTCAACAGATAAGAGAGGAGAAATGATGAGAAAATATCAAACTTCCCTTTGGGATCTCTGGTTTCCACTCACATTTTCCCATTACTGCAGCCACTATGTTTGGGAATGAAGATGGGTAGATTAACAATGCTCCACTATCGAACGCTATTATTCATATTCTGTACAGTGCCTTAATTATACAAGTTATATAGGGGGCTATACAAATGTTGTAAAAACAAAAATTTAAAGTAACTTTAATCCTTTTATCGGCAGCTATTTATTAAATGACATGCCTTCCATGCTGAAAGCTAGGGGTTGAAACTTCTTATACTGTAGACCACATGCAAGTTTCTTACCAGTTTGTCAATGTAGAAGTCATGGCTATGGCCTCTGAGCAAGCTGTAAGCTTGGAACTATGTGATACTATTAGGACAGTGATATTGCTCCTGATCAAGAATGAATGTAAGACTCACATTGGTATAATGAAATTTGTTGTCTATATATTAGATTTACCATGTATATAGAATTGAATATATTAAGGTTATTTTATTCCATGTATGTACTCTGCAGATAATGTTTTAGAGAAATATCTCTGAATACATTTGCAGAATGTGATAACTTTTATTTTGTTTTACATGGAAGCTGCTTCCTATCACTCAACAATCTCAAATTGTTTTATTTTGATATTTTATATATTCCAATTCGAAACATTCTTTAGTAGTCTATCCTAGCAGATGTCACAAGATATTTTTAGATATATGTTGATAATTTATGTATATTTCAGACTAGTTGTGTGATGAAAAAAATGCTAATTGAATAGAAATATGTGATCGTTTTTCTTGTATTGTATATATTTTTAAAAAATATTTGTTATCATTTCTGTTGTAACTGTTGGTAGCAGCTTTATAGCTTATGATTTTTATTAAATGCTTGTGTATAATTTAATGTTAACTATTAATTTCTGGTATGTAATCATGTGAACTTCTTTTTTCCATTGAATTCCAAGACAAGAAATCAAAATAATGCAATATGACAATCTTCTAGATAGGAAATTGTTTCCTTTTGTCTAACTTTTGCCCTTTCCACTCTCCATAATGAGGGCAAATATATTTTACCAGGCAAAAGTTTACTGGTGTACTTTTATTATTCCCACCCAATCATGGTTTAGATCATTCATCAGTGAAAATGTTTTCATTTTATAGTGAAACCTTGTTATACCCTGGAATGTATCACCTTTTCATATATTGATACACACATTGCAACTTTTCTAAAGAAAAACAATTGTTATTAATTGAGTTTGGCCAAGTACTGAGGGATCATTATGAAAAATGGAAAAAAAGGTATCTTTGGCAAAAAAATGTGAACAAATAAAACCAGGTACATTATATCAAGGTTTTTCTGTTTTACGTGTTGAAGCCTAGGGCAGAAGTTGTGTAAAAGTGATATATGGGTATGTGCAATGGAATTGTACTGCTATTAAAGTTTAGTGCAGCACTTGTTTAAAGTGATGTATGGGTATGTGCAATGGAAGTTTTTATTTAAGTGCCATCATTAATATGTAGTGCTGCTGTATACTGTTGATGAATTGTAAAAATTTTTTTTATTGATCTCTTATATATTGTGAGATGAATAAACTAGCTATTTAGTACTAAAACAGTCAAGGAAGAGGGGGTGGGGGCTTATAACTGGACATGGGCTTATTACTGGTAACATACAGTAACTGAATATAATTCAATACATGTACCTTGTTCAAGCTAATTACTGCCCAGTTCTTATAAATGTGTATTCAATACTTTTGCTGCTATAAATAAAACAAACATTTGTTGAGTAACAAGAAACTTTAACAAATCAACAATGAACATTCTGAAGTGTCTCAAAATGAAAGAAAAATGGAGAAAATAAGTTGAAAGTTCTTTTAAGTTTGCATAAACAATATACATTTATTAATAAAACATTGTACACATTTGGAAAAAAAACACAAAAAAAACCCACTCCCTCAAAGAGCCTTAGCTCAAATGAGGTTAATAATAGTAAACTAATTTATCCTCAGTTTTACAAATTTTGCCATGACCTCGATACATTCTTGTCAAAATAATTTATATACGCAGCATTAGCAATACTGCATATTGATGTCAGTATACATGGGCGCATCTGTGTGTCATTGGATATAAGTTTTTGATATGTTTGTTGTTATACATATGCTATTATGTATACATTGTCTCATTTAATGCATAATAATCAAAAAACGGCTCAAAGGTGATGTGTACATAATTTTTGGTTACCTTTAGCAACCCCCTCGATTTTATGCAATTACTGAGAATATTTGTTTGTATTTAAAAGTGAGGTTAATCCACTGAAAAACAGGAATATTCCGTCCAGTTGACACCTTAAATAGAATATGTTAACCAAGAAATCGTGTTACCTCTATGAATAAATGAACTTGACATCAATTGCCTTTTCGTAATATTTATCGTTTTTCTTTATTTTTTGGTAAAACAAGTTGGACAAATTATTGACATTGTAGCACTTTTCATTTACAATCAGTATAACATGTTTATTTCATTTGTAACGCCACAGAATGTAAAGAAATGTCACATCTTGTTCATTTATCAGTCTTAGTCACATTAACCTTTCTTCTTCAGAATATACCAACAATAACAATAAGTTAAAATACATTAATTTGGATTTTTGCTTTGATTAAAGCGGTTTTCATGACTACATCAATCATGATTTGTGGCCGGTATGCTTCTCCTCAGCCAGTAAAGGAGATATTAAACTTCGCATGACGTATTTATATAAATCAGCTTCAGATAATATGACATTTCGTAGCATTCAGTTGATATGCAAAAGAGATTGACATGTTACAAGTCCAGTGAACTATTTTTATGAAGACATCAGCCATAATGTCTTATTACTAACAACTTCGTTAAGGTCAATATGTATACGTATCGTTTAAACCAGCAAACTACATCTTCTATATATCCAAATTACTTTCTAAATTCTGATGTTAAATTAGGGTCTGTAAATAGGACTTATCAGAGGGTTTAAATTTTGGGTGACAAGACCATCATTTAGGGGGCTTGTTGAACCTTATTTAACACCAATACAGCCATTTCGAACACAATGGTATTGCTTTCAGAATAAACTGACGAACCTTGTCACAGTGTTCATTATTCCCTTTGATGTTGTATTATCCCTCCTATTTTAGCAGGAACTCATTGGCTTTTATCCATTGAATCGACGAAAACCCTGTTTAATGTTCAATATGCTTCCCGAATACTTAAGAAAAGAATAACGACTTCAAGTAACCATAGCGTAAAATGGCGTTGACATGTTCGCATTTCATCCTGTTTTTTGTTTTCTGTCGTTTTGATCAATGGATAACAACACCAATGAGTTAAGCCGAAAAGGAATTTCGGTTACTGGGGTTTTACAACATCTTGTTAATTATCACCGTGTGAAATACGGAACATAATTACACAGTCGAAAAACAGACTCTATCACTACGATAAGATTCACCAGGTATTTCATACATTGGCAATACCACACGAGTTCATCAGAAATCTCGGATTACACGAGTGTATAAAAGAAGTTTTCCATAAACGTAGATAGATTTGCATAAACATCTTTTGTCTAAATCCGAAACGTATACTTCATATGTCTCCCGTCTAAATGCACGATGATATCAAAAGTGATTGTTAGCCCTTGATATTGACATGCGTCACAGATACCGGCATCAGTGTTATTCTAATCGCCGACTTGCTAGCATTAAGGATTACATTGTACCCGAATTACTTGTATAACAATAGTAGTATTGCAAACAGTGAGTTAAGTTGAATTACTGTCTGTAACGGTCCTTGATCTCAAGATCCTTTAGTTGTTTAGTTGCTCCGTTATACGTTGGTCTCCTCCTCAGATATTCTATGTACAGGTCAATAGCTCCCGAAGTATCCCCGTTCAGTTCAAGGCAAAGTCCCACGAGGTTGTAGAGAATTGGATGTAAGTGCGCTCCCTGCCCGTTGTGTTGTCTGAGATAATAGTAGTATAAGAATGTTAAAAATGCTGCATATGGTTATGGCGGTATTTGCAAATCAGCCAACATGTCTTCTATCAGACATTGTAGCTCTTCAGGACATAAGCTTACGGTGCCGATGATAAAGATGTAAGGAAATGGGGCAGCAGTCGTTTTGTTTCTAAGTGATAGGCCATGGAAATGAAATGTTCTTTTTGTATGCGTGTCCCGACCTTGATTGGGAACGATACCTCCAGACGATCTCTTAAAAACGGTATTTCTTTCAAAATAAATAGACGAACCTTGTATTACAATTACAAGATTCTTTATTTAGCACTTTCATTTTGTATTACCTAAGCAGCCAGAACTCATTTGTAGCTGTAAGCTTTGCTATTTATCCATTGATGAAGTCGACGATTTATTATTCTGTGTTGATGTTCGGGATAATGACGTCACGTTACCTTTAACGTAAAATGACGCTTATAATCCTGTTTTAACGCGTCGATTTGCCTAATTAGTTTAACCAATGGAAAACAACGGATGAGTTCCAGCTACAAATGAGCCCTGGCTACCGGGATAATACCGGAACAACATGTTAATTATCACAATGTGAATTATTGAACCTTGTGTCACATGGCCTGAAAGCAGGCTGTAACACTATACTAAGATTCAGATTAAGATATTTCATAAATTGGCAATACCACAGATGTGTTCATCAGATGTCTCAGATTACACGAGTGCATTCCGGATTCTTTTTTTTACTAAAAAAGGTAATGCCACTGACGTCCCTGGTAAAACTTAGTTTCATGCATGAGGATGAATTTAGATAAACATATTTTGAGCGGTATGTTTTGTTTAAAAGCACCGTGATGCAAAAACGCATTTACTCTTCTATAAAATCTGATCTCAACATGAACCTTTAAAGTGCTACGTCACAGATGCCGACGTCAGCATCAGTGTTATTAGTGTTGCCGACTTATGATTTTTAACACAATGAAACCGAAATACTAGTGCAATGTATACCATTGTAATATTGCAAAAGTGCGTTAAGTTGTCTTACTGTCTACGACTGTAGTGGTCGTTGATAGATTATTTCGACCCCAAGTTCCTTTAGCCGTTTATTTGCTCCGTTATACGCCGGTCTCCTCCTCAGAGATTCTGTGTACTGGTCAATAGCTCCCGACGTATCCCCGGTCAGTTCAAGGCAAAGTCCCACGAGGTTGTAGACAACTGGATGTAAGTGCGCTCCTTGCTCGTTGTGTGACATCATCATTTGAAGGTCATCTAATGCTTGGCACTGCTTTTTCAAATCTCCGAGATGATAGAAGCATAGGAACGTTGCAAAGGCAGCATATGGTAACGGCGGGATATGAAACCCAGTCAGTGTGTCTTCAACTAGACATTGTAGCTCTTCGGGACAGAACCGATTGGTCTCGCTGATGAAGATGTCTAGAGAAAGGACAGCAGTCGTTTTGTTTCTAAGCGATAGGCCATGGATACAAATGTTCTTTTTGTATGCGTTGTCCCGATCTTGATTGGGTACGATACCTCCAGACGAACTCTTAAAGATGGTGAAGTGACAGTAGGACTCTTTTACCAGCTGCAGAATCTTTAAGGCGCTGTTATAGCTTCCAAGCATGTAGAGAAATGTTGCGAGAGTCAACCATCCTCTGCTGACGTCTATCTGTGTACAGTGCGCTAGAGAATATTTACATCGGCGCAACTCCCTGTACCGTTCTTTGTTGCTTGGCTTCCATGTGTAGAGACCCGTGGTCGCCGTTGTACATCCTGGTTCTTTACTGGTCAAATATTCATCGCATTTGGTTTGCGGAGTTGTGTTATGGTCACCAATATTTGACAAACTGCTTGAAAAATTAGATGGTTCGAGCTCTTGTTTTAAATTTGTATTTGTCTCCATTTGGTCGAGTATTGTTTTGGTTTCGTTTGATTTCGATTCCTCTGTGTCTTCGTCATCAGAATTAACCTTTTTTTCTTGGTCAGGGAGTAATGAAAGCGTACCAAGCAGTGTGTTCAGCAGAAGTATCCAACGACTATTTTCATCTTCGAACTTTTCCGAGTCGCCAAAGAATTTCAATGCACGTCTGACTGATTTGAGTCCGTTTTCTCTGCTCACCGGATACATTAGCGTGTTCGACATGAATGCAATCATGTCCTTTCTGAATTCCGCTTCTTTGGCGTTCCTCAAGACTAGTTCCAATTCCACCAAGTCTTTCATGGAAGGGGTTGTGTTCAGATTCTCGAAATATTCACATTTCTTTAACATCTCCATCCCCATGCTACAATAGCTGTCAAGAATATTCGCAAGGTTTTCTTGACCTTTTCCAAATACTCGTCCAAGAAACATGTTGTTCTTGGGGACGAAGTAGTTCGGGCAGTGGCCTTCGCGAACCCACTGAGTCAACATTTTCAGGCAGTTTTGGTAGTTGATGAACAGGAGGCCACCGTTTGACCACAGTTGCTTTGGTGTATTCTCTGCAACGAAGAAAACTACTGTCTTCAAAAAGTACGATGAAATGAGGTCTCGCACTTCTTCGTGTTTATTGATAACCTGCTTCAGGAATAGTTTCAGGAGAGTATACAACTTGAATTGAAGATGGTTGAGTGAATGTACCAAACTTCTCTCAGCTCGGGCAAAAGACACGCGCCATTCGACGGACACGTTTTCTGATGTCTTGTCTCCAACAGGAACCACGTGACAGCCCTGCTTGACGATATTGTCAATCATTGCAGCTGTCGGCCAACCATGGGGTCTACTTCTGGTGATCCAGTCACGTGCAATATCTGGCCATTCTGGACAGTGGAAAGCGGTGGCAAGATCAACTTCCAGATCTGGATTATCTAATATGCTGGCGCATGGACCGTGCTCTACGACGCCTGGATGTAATGATGCTAATTTGCTGCGGAAGGCGCTGCTGGACACAACCTGCAAACCTTTATGTTTAACGATGGCCATTTGAAACGTGGATTTACTGAAAACTGAAATATTTCCAACTTGCAAAACCACGTGACCGGGCCTGCATCCCTCATCCCTCATGATCAAAATGTGGTGGTAAAAGTATTTTTTGAAATGTTCTCCCAATTTTAGACTTAAGACGACTGTATCCCTGACAACCATCATTATGTCCATATCAGATCCTGGTAACCACAATCCTTCAGAACGACTTCCGCCGAAGTACTTCCGGTGGAGATCATCCGTATCGTGAGGATACCACATCATTTCATCTACTTTTCTCTTGAGGGCCAATTCATCCTCCCGCCCGGTAACGATGTTTAGTAGTCCTGAGAGGTACATTGAGGACCGACACATAGAATCAAACATCTCCATGGTATAATATCAGAACAGATCACAAAATGAAGGAATCCCGACTCGTGGTATTTTCCGTGAAAATACAGGTTTCCGAAAAATCACATTAAATTAAAGTCATTGTTGCGTACACTATCTTCGTCGTGGCACCCAGGACAATTATCTTAGTTGTGTTTGAAATACCTAAAACAGAAATAAAAATAAAATAAAAATAAAATGATAAATAATAGAAAATAAGAAAATCGTTTACAAGTGGTCGTTAGCAACTGAAAACTCCGACCGTCAATAGCAGCATAATCATTGTTTATGCTATCAACTTTTAATCCGAATGACCAAAATCGATGTTTCCCTCCTCATGCGGGGTCTCAAAGCCTAGTTTTGTAGTCAGGATAAAAAGACGTCATTAAAAACCGGATATTGTCTCTCGGTTTATCTTTCTGATATTGTTTAATGTCTTACTTATTACATTGTGCGAATACTCCAAGAAAATAAAATGCATCTAAGCTGCATAAGGACTTACAGCAAGCTGAACAATTCGTGACACCTAATCGAAAACCACTCGGGTCTTTCCGTCAAACCAAAGACGAATGTACCATTATAACGGAAAGGCCCGAGTGGTTTTCCGATTGATATTGTACACCTGTATATTGTTATCGTGCTGTGCGGTACTACAACAAACCTTTTTTTAGCTCGGGAAAATGTAAATAAAAATATTATATATGTACGTATATGGTGTTAATTCATATCAAGGTGAGTGACATATATATATATATATATATATAGAGAGAGAGAGAGAAAGAGATTCATATATAGAGAATTGATTTGTGCTTTGGATTCTTTAAGAAATGATACCTCTATTATTATCAAAGAGGCTGATAAAGGCAATGCAGTAGTGATCATGAATAGAGATTTCTATTATGAATGCATACATAACATGCTTAGTAATGTTGAATTTTATGCTTCGGCAAGTGACGATTTCGATGCGGAAACCCGTAGATTAATCAACGAGCTAACACGGACACATGAAGCATGCCTACATGAAAAGGAGATAGATTATCTTGTCAATTTTATGCATAAAACTAGTTATTTCTATGGTTTGCCTAAAATCCACAAAAGCTCTATTATAAGTAAAGCTATAGAAGAACAAAACTGTACATATATTGAAGTTGAAAATCCTACGGATTTGAAGTTTAGACCCATAGTAGGCGGCCCTAATAGTGCAACGCAACGTTTGAGTCATCTTGTAGACCTCATTCTTAAACCTTTATGCACAAGTGTAAACAGTTATATCAAAGATGATTTTGATTTTCTGAGCCGTTTATCTAAACAGGTCCCACATAATGCTAAACTTGTTTCTTTTGATGTTGTTAGTTTATACACTAATATACCGCATGATCTTGGTATTGAAGCTGTTAAATATTGGTTGATCAAAAAACGAGAAAAAGTTAATTCTCGTTTTAGTAATGAATTTATACTGCAAGCTCTAGACATTGTCCTCAATCGTAATTCTTTTTATTTTGAGCAAGAATACTTTCAACAGATTAAGGNTATTATATATAGCATTCATATAATCAAAAAAAAAATACTGTCTAAATATATAGTTGGCATAACGCCAGCTTAAGATAACCAGACTGATACAATATGTTTACAGCTTAAGCATAGCATTGTGATAATACCATTCCAAGTAGACTAGTGGCATTTACGTTTATAACACACGAATCAACAAGAAAACACAGAAGCACAAAAACGCCCCGGTTGCTATTGCGATGTTCGTCCTGCCCGTAACCAGGTCTGACGTCAACAGTAAACATAATTATCTATTCAGTTTTAGCCTACGTTTCCTAATTAAACATATTTTCAGTTTTTAGACTTTTGCAAAAATACATGAACTTACCTTGTCTGTTTATTGGTGCTGTTTGTTTTCGTTTTGAGTAAGTCTTGCACGGCGATATGACGTACTGCACAGGGTCCCTCGCTCCGAGTCGGTCGGCTGCACGCCCCACATACGTGCTCATATATACATTACATATTCACGCCGGAGTAGTTAGATATAATGTGCACGTTGTATATATATATATATATTCTATATACAAATACATCTGCTTTGGTAGGCTATTGGTAATAGAGTCGGGTTTGTCAATGAAGGCTAGGCTGGGTTCCGGTTTTAGAATCTTTAATTTCTAACTACAAAACATATTGAGATTTTTTTCATTTTGAAATATTTTATGTCTGATTTCTATTTCTCCCACACTTCACATGTGCATCTCCGTTTCTGCTAGAGAAGAGATAACCATGATTTTACCTACCTAGGGAACAAGACAGCTCACACGCGTTATAATTCTGAAAACGTCGCGTCATCACCCGCGTTACCAGGGAAACGTCATACGTTTTGTCACGCGTTTCATATACCAAAGATGATGGTACGATGCACTAGTTTCACCAATATGTATATTGTTACGGTAACTCTTGGGAGAAAACCCCCAGGGATAACCACCTGGCAAAACCTCGGATCTAAACCCTCGGGTTGGGATTTCTTATAGTCTGAAGATTGGATTTTTTAATCTTTTTACATCCTTTTTGTATTTATTTTTTATAACTTTAAAGTCAGAATTCTTAAATGGTTTTAGTTTAAACATATTTATTGTCAATATCTCAACACGGGATGAAGCAAAAGTGTTTTCCTCAACTTATTAAAGCATTCTGCCAATAAACATAAATTTACAAAATACAAGATATCAATAAAGACAGTTATTATAATATGTCAGTAGGAACAATGTGACTCCATTTGGAATTATTGTCAAAAATACCACAAGTGCAAATCGAGTAGTATTATTCATATATACATGTACAACCAGATTGTAATACGAATGTTCATTGCGCTTCATGGTCTATATCTTGACCAACACACGGCACAGGATTTCCGGCCAAAGATGCAGGTTGATGTGGCTATGTGGACAAGTTCTATGGTTGCCCTCACAATCAGACTAATCAGGGGTCGACACTAACACTAGTCGGCTAGTCCTGGACTAGTGGATTTCATCCAGGACTAGTCAATCACCTAACTTAACTGGTTCTTTGGACTTTGGGGGAAATATGATTATAAAATAAGAACATTCCTTTTTAAAATTTATAAAACTGCTTAAAATAAAATATTGCATGATAATTATCAAAATATTCTTAAAACGTCACCATATTTTTATGGCAGTGTTTATTTAAGTCCCCTAGAGTCAAGTACTTTTGATGTTTCGTGCTTTATGTAGATCGTGATGTTTGAAAACAGCATTTTTTGAAAAAGGCAATAAACTTACCTAACCATCAAAACATGTGCGAAATGCACAAATTTCTTTTTTAGTGATAGTTTTATGACACTTGGCACAATCGGCAATTATTTTTTGGTTTTGGATTTCGTTTACCTTTAAGCAAATATTGGACTAGTTACATTGACGAAGGACTAGTAAATAATCTATTCAACTAGTCTTGTGGACTACCAAGCAAAACAAGTTAGTGTCTTACCCTCTTACTTATTAGAAAATGTCCGATATATTTTATATGCTCATTGGTCGCCTTGTTTTGTTGTCACTACATCTAGCTCGAATTCATGAAAGCGGTCTCATGCTCAAACTTATATTTTGTGCTCATGCCTAATAAGGTAATTTAAGGCCGAATACCGTTTTCGATGTTAAAACTCCGACTGTTTTGACCGTGTGACATGTTTTTAAGACAGTTGCAAGAAAGTAGGTTTGGGCACAGAATCTAAGCTTGAGCACGAGAACGGTTTCATGAATACGGGCCTTGTTTTCGCAGAGAAGTCTTGACATTATTTGAATAAGGGGGTTTCCATGTGGGGGAAAATTGAGAAAATGGTGAAAATACATGATTTTTAAAGAAAATTATCAGGGTGGGGGTCCTGAAGCCCAAAAAACCCCTTTGGATCCGCCACTGTGTACCTACCGCAAAAAACTGCATACATCCGCGAAGCAACCGCGATTTTGTAGTCATATCGGTAGAAAACTGTTGAAATAACTGATGACTGTCATCTAGATATTGTACACTCTACTAATGGAAACAAAAAGCTGACAACCGGCATAAAACTGTTAGTAGTCGTTTAATATGTCTGTGATTCAATGTTCAAAGAAAGACAACTTGAATACACGAAAAAGAAATTTTTCATTCTTCTTACAAAATATCAAAACAACTTCTTCTAAATTGTACGATTTTTAGAAAAAGAAAAATCAATATGTCAATTTGATCTAATTAATATAATAATATATTTATAATATTTCATTTATTTATATAGAATCTAACGCTGTTTTTGTGTAGTCTAATATCGGCTTTGTTTGATGGAAAATTGTTGTTTTTTTCATTCCCTTTCCGTTTAAAATTGATGAAAATTGTTAGTTAACGGCAAAATCAGATTTTGTTTGTTTGCAGACAGTTTTTACCGACATAAGAATGTCTCCTTCGACAGTGAAAAAAAGGCAAGGATGTCATCCATTCATTTGTATACGATACTCTCGGTCGGTTGACAGACAACCACAAAAATGTGGGCCAGGAATGAAATATATCATCATGGATATATTAGCCGATTCCCCAATCAGATCTTGGCTTTATTTCCCCCTATTTATATTGATTTTCCCCCCACCTTTGGTAGGGCGCTCGACCCTCGGTAAGCATACACTCCGAAACATGATTTGCTACGCCACTGACTTTTTATGGCTGGCCTTGTTTACAGTAAATGATTCGCAGCATCTAGAATAGGGAGAAACAAAAATCAAATATGTCACCCCCACCCCCAACCTCCATATTTCCCCCTATTTCGAAAAAAAGGTACTAACTTTCTGTTCCTTCATTAATCCCTAATCATACCTCTTTCAGGTATGGGTTCATTTTGAGCAAGATAGGCAAAACTCGTCTAGTAGTAACGAGAATCAGCTTGATAAAATGGCGTCGCTGAAATATATAACGCACGGAAACCTATGATGAGACTTATTTAGTCTCGATCTATATATGTATTCTAAAATCTCTAAACGTTGCCAAGAGTGGTTAGGTGGCAATGGGACTTCTTCGTATATAGAGTTTATTCTGAATATTTGCGTGTCTCTTCGTATTAACTTTCCGTTGATTGTTCATCGCAGAAAGCTAACTATGCGGATATTTCGGCGGCGGCGGTTCCAGAGTACCAAAATCCTTTTGGAACCACAGGGCATTGATCGCTTTACAGTGGCGGATCCAGAGGTGTTTTTTGGGCTTCAGGAACCCCCACCCTGAGAATTTTCTTTAAAAATCATGTANNNATGGTCTCTGGATCCGCCACTGCTTTACTTGTAAAAATATTAAAAAATTGGGGTCTCCTCTACTAAAAAAAAAATTAGTAGAGGAGACCCCATTTTTTTAATATTTTTTTACAAGTAAAGCGGTCCATGCCCCTGTGTTTGGAACCACAAAAAAACACCAAGGTCTTAACTGAAAAAGTCTCTATATCTTTTACAACTTAAGAAAAAATCACCACTTTCTTTAGCTTAGGCCACGGACTTAATCTAATTCCGTTCTTAGGCTAAACGTTACCGGCAAATTATTGGAAAGAATTCAAGTCGAAAAGAAGAAAAAAAATCAATTAGATCTACAGTGTTTGAAAGCTTATATAGCTAAATAGCCTGACTGGAGACATTACTCCGAAATAGAACATAATGTTGTAGTTTTTTTGTAAATCGTTGAATGACTCCCGAACTCTTTTTTCCTGCCTTTGTGACTCGGCAAATGATAGCTACTTCGAAAGTGGACGAATTGCTCTGACCACATCAATGAAAGCAACCATTTAGATTGGAACTCTTTTTAGATAGAGATATGAATGTCCTATATATTGCGGGAAGTAAGAAAATGGAGGGATTCGTGAAGACGCTGGTGGCTAAATCAGATTTAAGGTATACAAATAGATGTCCCTTTATGTATGAATAAACAATGCAAATAGGAAAATGCATCATTGATAATTCCTGTATAGGCCTACCAACTGCCAATCGCAAATATGCGGTTGCTTATGTGAATGCTTAAAAATTGATACCATCGGACCACAGGCACAGGGTTTCGGACCTATCAACACATAAATAAAAGTCAATGTGTATTTTGCTTGTAATAATTAGGTTTTGGATGAAATGCATATCCTTTCGTTTAGAGGGTGGATGACCAGATACCACCTCTGGTATGTCTGCGCTGATTCAGATACGAGGTCATTGACGTTCTCTGCACACACCGTCCTAGTTGATAATTAAATACATTGATCTGTTGATGATAATATAGTGGTATAAGGACGATCTGGACCTCTGATAGAGTCTGCATTTTTTTAAAAGGGACTGAATATTGACCTTAATGCTAAATTACCTAAAAGATTCTGACGAACGAATAAACTTGCTTCCCTCCAAAAATCGTACAAAATGATTGGTTTTGTCTTGCATTAGGCCTACTACAGTACAGCAGTGTCTAACCATTCAATCACAGATACACAGCTTGTTGATAGTGTGGAAGTATTTGGAGAAATAAGTGATGCTACATCCTTGGACCCCTTCAGAAAATTCCTCGATTAAGTATGCATTCCTTATAGGATAGAGAAATTCCACCCAAGGGGTTTTCAAATTTGGTAAAATTCACCCTTGGGCATGAAAGAGTATTTTTCTCTCATTCCAATTATCAGAATAAGATCAGAAACCATGAAAATGCGTTTGGACTGGCTACCATTTGGAAAATATCCCCCTTTTTTCCCCCTTAGCTTTTTAGACAAAAACAAATAAGTCATCAAGATTTAGCATCCCCCAAAATATTCTGATCTTTCTAACGTGTACGGGAAATAAATTGTAAAAGTTTTTAATTTCATCACGTTGCCTTTTCCGCATTGCGGCATCCGTGTTTTCCAAATTTGTGACGTCACATCATTGTTGAGCCATTGTGACGTCGCGTGAAATGGGGAGTAAGATAGAAATTTCCTACACCCCTTTACTTACCCTGGACAGCTCTTTATCTTAAACACACGTAAATGAGAGAAATTCATATCCAACATATGGATTTTGCGTCTCTCACACATATTCTTCATTATATTGAAATTGGTAAAAGTATAAGGTACTGGTAGAGGCATGTACCTAAATATGCATCCCGAACGTATGTCTTTTGCAGTGTTTTGACGAAGCGTATGATCAGAGATGAGTACAAGAAACATGTTGGCCGGAATCATCTGGATGTGGAGGAGAAGACAGAGCTTTCTCGTCTTGTAACAGCTGTACTCACGGACATTGACAATACAGTAGGTACTATTGGAGGATTGTATCATAATGTAAAATATAAAAAATGCGAGCACATAAATGCATATATGTGTATAATGACATCATTAACAACAGTAGATATTGTGACGTCATGAACAATAAGTGGTATTGTAATGTCATACATAATAGGTTGTATCGTGATGTCATAAAAAATAGGTTGTATTGTAAAGTAAAACACAATAGCTATATATAAGTTGTATCGTGACATCATAAACAATAGATTGTATTGTAATGTCATACACAATAGGTTGTATTGTAACGTCATACACAATACGTTATATTGTGACGTCATAAACAATAGATTGTATTGTAACATCATAAACAATAGGTTGTGTTGTAACGTCATAAACAATAGGTTGTATTGTGACGTCTTAAACAATAGGTTGTATTGTGACGTCATAAACAATAGGTTGTATTGTAACGTAAAACACAATAGATTGTATTGTAAAGTCTTAAACAATAGGTTGTATTGTAACGTCATACACAATACGATATATCGTGACGCCATAATAGGTTGTGTTGTAACGTCATAAACAATAGATTGTATTGTGACGTCTTAAACAATAGGTTGTATTGTGACGTCATAAACAATAGGTTGTATGGTAACGTAAAACACAATAGATTGTATTGTAAAGTCATAAACAATAGGTTGTATTGTGATGTCATCAACAACTAATTAAAGGTAGATAACTCTGTAAAGAACATCAATGTTAATGTTGTCTATCAGGACATAATACTAAGTGTAGAAATTTTCTTACGATGTTATAATTAATACTTCTTATAATTTTCCTCACAAAATTAGATTTGTATGTAGCTGAAATGTTTATGGATTTCTAAGAAACTTAACTTACCTCTGACCTGTCAAAGGAATCTGTGTATGTTTCACTTCAATGTTGTCTCAGCATCATTTGAAATAGTTACGACCCTTGATGTTATTAGTCAATGCACATCTTCCTTTATAATTATACATCGGACAGTTTCCAGGTATTGGCTGTAGGTCTGTGGTTTTTCTGCGGGTACTCTGGTTTTCCTCTACCACCAAAACCTGGCACATCTTAAATAACCATTAGCTGTTAAATGGACATACCGTTAAAACCAATATGTCAGTTATTGAACGTTCACATTGTCTGCACTACCAATTATGCTTCCTTGCTATCCCCATATATTCATAGTCCATTCCAAATGTCCAGTTTGACCACTCAAATTGTTTGGGAAAGCCCTGTTAAAGATAGCGCCGATAACGTCACACGATGGTTTTGAAATGAGGCAGTAAACTTTGACTAAAATGCAAAATTTCCAAAGGGGCCCCAAGAGAGGGGCCATCGGGTAACTTCTTACCGCACTATATGAAACCAATGAATAAGATTTGAAGCCCGTCTTGAAACTATTTATCATCAGAAGTTAATTGCACATGTGTTTGGCCCCATACCCATTTGTACCAGTCTGGGACTGTATGAGACTGGTACAAATGGGTATGGGGCCAAACAACTTCCCTCAACCATGGGACAAACCTTTCTGTAAAAAGGAATATTCACGAGACGAATACCCTTTTCAAATATTTTTCATAAAGTGTATGTATGCATTGATTAGTATAAAAAAAAGAAATGTTTGTGAATTTGATTTATTACAACTTAATGTCTTTGTCCACTTTTTTCTAGACCATGCATTATTCACGCATGGGACAAGCATATTTGTATGCCCCCGCCATAAAAGGGGGGGGGGCATATAGTGTTGCCCATGTCCGTCCCGTTGCGTTGCGTCCCGTCCCATCCCGATTCAATGTAAACAATTAGCAACTTCATTCTTTGACAGATTTTGGTCAAACTCTATGCAAAGGTCAAGTATGAGCATACGTCGGACATCCTTGTGTTTCAGGGATCCAAGGTCAAGGCCAAGTTCACACTCGCTATATATAGAAAATCATCAACTGATTCAATTTAAACACTTAGCAACTTCATTCTTTCACGGATTTTTGTCGAACTTTATACAAAGGTCAAGTATGGGTATTCCTCTGACATCCTTGTGTTTCAGGGTTCCAAGGTCAAGGCCAAGGTCACTGTTGCTATATATAGAAAATCATCAACTGATTCAATTTAAACACTTAGCAACTTCATTCAATATGTTATGGATCTGGTAATAACATACAGATTTTTTTTTAACATATGAATATTAAAATCAACCTATCAACTTTAAGTGTAGTACCTTGTGTGTGTGTGCATGTTTCAGGGTATCAAGGTCAAAGTGGTTGTAACTTTTTATAGAACAATGAAACTTATTTCACATGGCAGTGGGGGCATTTATGTCTTACAGACATTTTCTAGTTTATTTTATTAAAAGAAAGATATGCGTCGCTGTAATGGGAAGCACAAACAAACCAAACTTCCTTAATGCAGTAAGTGTCATTCTATTTCTGGTAGCCTGAGTTTCCTCTGGCCCTGACACCAGACTTAGACATTTTTACAGATAGATGTCTGGTGTGAGTTGTCAAAATGTCTAAGTCTGGTGTCAGGGCCAGAGGAAACTCAGGCTATATTTCTGGCCGCTTGAATTGACAAAATAGTTACTACATTTAATAACACAATTCAGATGACTAAAAGACTGAAATATTTACTGTATTTATTTTGCAGACAGAAAAAGCCAGGACAGACGTTCAACAGGGAGAACATGACAACCATAATGAGAAAGAGAATCACAAACCTAAAAAGCCAGTCTCAGGGATGGGAAATAACTCTACAGAACTTGTACATAAATCTAGCCCTAAAAAGCAATCAAAACTTTCACCAAGGAAAAAATTGTCAACACCAAATAAAAAGAAGAAAAATGAAGAGGTACAAGAAAAAACATTTTCATTGGTGAAAAATTGCTCACCAGCCAAAATATTGAATTCTCCTCAAGATTCATCAAACAAAAGTCCTGACCATAGTTCTGTTAGCTCAGGAGATTTAGGGACTCAATCCAGCACATCAAAATTCAGAGTGGATGAAGTGCTGGATGCTGTGATGATGTCTGATGGTGAAGACGACGCGATGACTTTACCAGAGTCGGAGGAAAGTGAAGAGGATGATGACGATGACGTGGAGGAGGTGAATTCCGAGGTGAATTCAAAGACAGACAATCAGAAATTTAAGAAATATCATTTGGTGGAGGAGGATGATGAGGAGACATGGAAACCATTTACACCGGTGAAGGAAACAAAACCGGTGAAGGGACGGATTGAGAGCTCATCCGATGAGAGTGCTGGACTTTCCAGTGATGGGGAGAGCGACAAAAAGGGGAATAACTCTCGCTCAAAAACACAGCAACAGAAAAAATTCGGAAATAAACTGGAGAAGACAGACAGAAAAACATCGAAGAAAAGATCATTGATCGTTTCTAGTGAGGAAGAAAGTGGTCCTGATAGCGAGTCTGAAAATAGCGATTCTGAAAAAGAGAAAAGAACTTCTAAAAAGGCTTCAACATCAGCATCTAAACGAAGAAAATTAAACTCAACAAAAGCACAGACTTCATCAAAAGTAAAGAAATCAAAGGGTGTTAAAAGCACGACCGCTACAGAAAAGGAAATCTCGACAGAACCTAAGAAAAAAATTCAAGATAAGGTTAGGTCGGAGAAAGAAAAGAAGACTGTATCTAAACCGAAAAAAGGTAGTGATAAAATGAAATCTCCTGTCAAAGGAGGAAAGAAAAAGCAGGTTTCTTCCGACAGATCTGGCTCAGAGGAGGAAATGCCCCTTGCTGTCTTTAGAAAGAATTCAAAGGCTGAGTCGGACAGTTCTGATTCAGATGAGGGTTTTTCTTTGGCCAGTCTGAGGAAAAAATCAGAGGTATATATGAAAGAAAATTCATCAAATCATTCTTATAATAAAGATATTTTATTATTATGTTAAAGGCCATTGATCTTAGATGATTGAAGCTAAAAATTATCAAATTTATTTTACTAGAAATATGAAATGAGTTCAATTCAAACTGATATCAATCGCTTTGTTGGATGGTAAGGAAGGGTGCAGAGTCTTAATGTGGGAGGAAATAGGGGACAAACCCACATAGATGGGCAGGTGACCCAATACCTTCTCATATGTCCAAACACGAGTCCATCCCAAGCTGTCCTGATGAAAGGCAAAAGCACCATCCAGTGTGCCAACTGACCACCCTATGATTTAATCTGTAATTTCCAAAATTCATTCTGATTTTGATTGAGAAACAAGACTATTGTTACACTTATTACTAGTAATTATTATGATGTTAATTGACACAGGAGCAGTCTGGATCTGAGGATGACAGTCACAACAGTGGATCTGACCAGAAGGAAGAATCGCCTGTCAAAAGAAGAAACCCTAGATCCAGGAATAAGCAAGCAAAGGTTTGTTGAACTAGGTTGACTCAAGCAGTGACAGTTTATAATTAATAACAAAAAATTGCTTCGTCAACCTTTACAAATTTCTTTATTTCCTAAATATATTCCTGGTTCAGTGTAAGTGTTGTTCATGTTTTTCCCTGATTTTTTCATCTCATCATGCTAATTTTCCTAAAACTTGTGGTTCGGGCTCTAGTCCTGTAGTCGCTCCAAAAAATGAAGCAAACTTAATTAACTATCATATCAGACTTGGCAGTTGTGTCAGTAATTTTTTAAGTACGATGAACTTTCTGGTAATCATTAAAGTACACTCTATTTATTTTAGAACAATTATATGAAACAAGTCGAAATCTTAAGTTATAGTAATCACTCTTATTGGCCCAGATTGGGTGGAAACTGGAGTACCCAGGAAAAACCCCTCATGGGCAGGTGCATGGCCCCATACCTCTTCATGTCTGATCGGGGAATCTAACCCTGACTGCCTTGGGGAAAGGCGAGGGTGTTATTTACTGTGATACCGCCCAACTTATCATTTTGGTAAAAGCAGGAAGCAGATTACATAGTCTTTCCAAGACTTCCCATGCTGAAATGCATGGCTGATCATGACAGAAAATTTGCACAGTACCTGGTGACGTTGCTAAGTGCCAGCTCTGGTCAATATCACTGCATTGGAATCTTTGTTACTGCGTTAGTTTGAATCATGATTATTGAATGTTTACCAATGACTGATTGAATTTCTGATTGTGTTGACCAAAGGTGGACAGTGTCTCCGAGGAAGACGAACTTAACAGTGACTCAGAGGAGGAAGCATCACCAGTCAAGAGACGAAAACCACAGAGTAAGGTAGGTGGCTCATTGATTAAGCTGCCCAAACAACATCCATGAGTGTGGAAACTTATTGTTTACTGTTTCTTCAATCTTGTTCTTTCTCTTATCTTCTAATTAATAAGTGCCCGGTAGACTGTTAAGAATTTTTAGATGACTGATTGATGATTAACAAGGCATACATGTGTTACCCTGGTAAAATACTAGCTGCCTCCTACCCGTACTGACTCGGCTGGGGAGAGTTTCTCTTTAGCTTGTTCGGTAGAGCATGAGACTAGTAAACCAGAGGTTCCCGGTTCGACTCTGAGTGGAGGCATTGAAAAAGTAATGACCTCTGTTACATGGTCATTGGTGTCGCAAATGGACCTAGGAAATTTTGACTAAAAGACTGTAAGAATGGCTATGACCCCTGGAAATCTTTTTGGAGGGGGAGTATGTCACCCTGATAAAATACTAGCCGCTTCCTACCAAATTTCTCTTGAGCTGATTCGGGAGAGTGCAAGACAAGTAAACCAGAGGTCCTGGGTTGAAATATTAGTGACTTCTGTTTCATGTGTATTCAATCCAATATGGCTCTCAGGGGCTTTACATTGGGTAATACATTGAATTGTCAATTATATTATTTTTCTCTCATAATCATAATGAGTAGTAATAGTTTGTATGCTATTGAATCAATTCATGATGGTTGTCAAAAACTTTGATTGACACATTTTGAGATTACTGTACTGGAAACTTATTATATACATTCCAAGTTTATTTAAAACTTAAAAAAAATATTTCAGTTTTGATTTAATTATGCATCTTGAAGTCTGATTGGCTGATATTTCTGTCATGATCTATGTTAAATGAAATTCTTTTGTGTAAAAAGTAGGCTGTTTTGCTTCACTAGTTTGGTCCATATAGCCAGAGATTAATCTGGTTTCTGTGGCATGATGGAACTTAGATTTTATGACTGTCCCAAAAGGTTGCTGGTCTATCCCAGGAATACTTCCCTAAATGCTTCTTTTAATTATAATTTGTTTATCTACATAGACTAGAACAATATGATTGGAGTGTCTTTTTAAATGTCACTTCACCAGAAATTGACTGTTTGCAGTATGGTTCAAGTGTGGTATGTCACCAGCTTTTACTATGTGTTTAGTGGTTCATTTAATCTGTTGCAGAAGAAACCAAAAGTTGTGGACAGTGAAAGCGAGTCAAGCTCGGATAGCGAAGAAGAGGAAGTCTCGCGGAAAAAGAACAAAACTAGAACTCCTGTTAAGTCATCGAAACAGAAAAATCCATCGAAAAAATTGGAGAAGAAAAAGACCCTGTCCAAGGTACATTGTACAAACAATAGATTTCATAATCAACAGCTTGATGTTCATTTAGCTGTATTCATCCTCACAGATTAAACCATCCTCGATACTCCAGGGGTTATGCTCATATGCTCACTTTCGCTCTCTGCACCCCTGGAATATGTCATAGCAAAATTGGAGGTTCAGTGTGCACCACCTTGTGGATGAGACAAGAAGACTAGTTTGATCCTTTGATGTACATCAAAAGAATCTCTCGGTCACGTAACAGTAAAAACTTACTGGCTTTGAAGTTGGGCGTTGCTCCTTTGTATTCTACAGAGGACAGGTATTAGCGTAGCAATGAGTCAGGTTTTTTTTTCGGAGACCATTCAAATAGCTAGCCGCATGCCTTCAATTTTGCTATGACATATTTGATGTACTTTGTATCAGTTGTCTTGAACATTCCGCGTACTGTATACCAGGAGAAATATTTGCCCTGTCAATTATTCGCTCTTCACCGGTAAAATCAATATTCTCCAGTGTATCTTTTGCCCTTGACGTGTAATTCATTAATAAGGTATGACAGGTATTTATGTCTGCTGTCAGGGTAAATTTGCCATTGTTACAAAGGGCTAAAAAGAATTAGCTGTGGTGAAAATTTCCATTAGCTGTTGTGAAAAATTCTTAGTATACAGTATAGCACTTAGTCACCTACATTGCCATAACTGTCAATACCTCTTGGGATGGCAGAGTGTGGCACACTAAAAACGAGTTTCAAGTTATACCGGCAAAATTTCTTTATATGTCAATTTCAGGTCGAAATTCAGGTCAATTTTACCTGAAAGTAGCAAAATAGTCAATTTCAGGTCAAAAATTGACATGAGTTTGACACAAAAAATTCTTGATGTCAATTTCAGATCAAATTTAGGTCAATTTTTGCTATCATGGTGAATTATTCAGGTCAATTTAACCTGAAATTGACCTAAGTAAATTTCATGCGAAACTGACCTGAATTTAACCTGAATTTGACATGGAATTTAGGTCAATTTCAGGTCAGGAATTAACATCGAGAAATGATGCCTGTGAATGGTCCTTTGTTTTTCTAAAGATGGGGGACTGTGGATTGCTTGCATATCAGATAGTCTTCCATTAGAGGTGTGTATCGCAAGGGTTGTGACGATACAATGCGTATCACGATACATGGGTCACGATACGAGTCGTATCGCGATACTTGTCACAACATTCTGTACAAATGTGTTACCATAGTTTTCCTTGATTTGAAACTTTTAACCTTGATATGAAACAAATATAAAGTGTTTGTATACCATGCTCAGTTTATTTGTTTTGATGTGATCTATCTCATAAATTGTAAAGCATAGTTTCTTTTTTTAATTATTCTAAATAAACACATTCATTCAGATGATGAATTATGTTCCCTTTGAGTAGGAGGAGATCAGTTCAACACCCGCTATGGGCAGAGCAGGTGCTGTCGGTAATATAAAATGTTGGTTTTACAAAAAAATGTTTCAGAGAAACTTCGATCCTATTGGGGTACAACTTCCATTTTTTTCTGAAATATATGATTTGTTGTTGTTTTCTGAGCGTCTGCAAATCCGACTGGACCCAACAGCGATATTGGAAGAGTGTGTTTACTTAAAGGCAGTCACTCAATCAGATACCGACGAGGACTGCTAACAGCTGAAATATTGCGACATAAAAACACCAAACTCTTAAAAAGATTTTAGCTTTTCCTTCTTTTAAGAGATAAAAATGATATGTATTTGATTGTTTTCAGTCCCTAAATAATTCTTTTAAACTGGAATTGATATCATTGCCGGTTCAAACCGTAATTATGTGTCCCTGTGAGTTCCTGGCGGTCAATAGTATCACACGACCTTGACTCTTTGCAATACATACAACAGGTGAACTTTGCGACTTGCCTTGTGTCATTTTGGCACAATTGAAAATTGAATATTGAAGCATAAGTTTACACAAGAATGGCATCTTCCATCTCAGAGTACTAAATTACCATGCAATATGCCGATATATTTTCAAAATCGCTGTACTTATCAGTTCAAATCGTTGGAGAGACCTACATTTTTTCGTATTTTACCGTGTAATATTGCCTTGAATTACAACTTTTTGTGATGGTAAAATGAGTCATACATTCTGGAATTATTACGCGAAATTTTACTAGTCTAAAAGAGCGGTAACTGGCCGTATAGAACCTTTTTAAAGTATCGGGATACTATCGGCGATTGCCACGATGCATCGGCAATCAAGAAATGATACGATTCATCGGTGAATCGTTACGCCTCTATCTTCCATGTTAATTGACTTATTGTCTCGTTCCATATTTCAGGCCTCTGAGACAGTTGAAAATTCAGACAGTGAAGAAGATGATAAGTCAGACCTGTCCAGTGTAGATGACGAAGATGAGAAATCAGTACTTGCCAAGGTAATTGTGGAACTTGATACAAACTTAGAAATACAGTGGTTTAGATTTGGATTCAAATTGACCCTCCACTAAAAGTTTGTCTAAATGCACTTTGAATTGCTTTGGAGATATCTTGATGAATTTTGAAATGTATTAAAACGGTCTTTCAAGATGCATGACATTTTTTGTTGAAGAGGAGATAGTGTTTTTCTAGACAGAAAAGCCATCTGGGTTTTTTCTTGCATATTATATACTAAAGCTCTATAGTACTGTCCAGTACACTATACTAGTAAAAAAAAAAAAATTTGGGAAGTTATTTCTTGAAATTTTTCAAATGTTCTGTTTTCAAAATTGTACAGTAACTTCTACCCTAGGGTCAGTATGAAGAGCATTGCAATCAGATTACCGCCTACATGTGGTTGTTTTTTTATTGCAAGTCAGGGCTATTCAATTTAGATATATACCCAACCATGCATGTATGTCACATTTTAAAAAGACCACCACCATCACATAATTTTTTACATATTACCTTGAACAGAAGTATTTTTTATAGTACATGTATAACAGACTAATGTTACTACATGTATACGAGGAGACTACGGTATTCTGATGTAGGTAGTTTCGGAAAAAGTCTTATGAAATTTATTATGATCACATTTTGTTTTACGCAGAAGCCTAAAGCTGTTGACAGTGAAAGTGAATCCGGCTCTAGTGAAGAAGAGGAAGAAACTAGAACTCCAGTCAAATCATCAAAACAGAAAACTCCATCGAAGAAAACAGACCGAAATCCCACAGACAGTAAGCGGATCCCATCCAAGGTACAGTATAGTAGAATTCAAGGAATAACAAAACAGTTCTGTTCAAAGATGATACAGTTTGTCCATGCTTCTTTGTAATAACCAAATAGAAGGTTTAGTCTCATTTGATTTTGTGTTTCAGGCCTCAGAGACAGTTGACCAATCAGACAGTGAAGAAGATGAGAGGTCTGACCTGTCCAGTGTAGATGATGATGAGGATAAGTCTACACCAGCCAAAGTAAGTTTGGAATTATGGCCCTTGATTATTTGTGATGCTGAAGTGTATCTGGAGCATTAACTTACTTGCTATTTTATATTTGTTCACAAAACTTGCTATAAATATGTATCTTGGAAAGGTGGAATGTCATGTATTAAAATTTGGTCTCTTGCCACAGTTTATGCAGAGTTATTGCCCTTTGTCATTTTTGATATCAGTTTATCCAGTTTATTACCTTCTTGCTTTTTCACCTACGTTCACTAAAGTTGATATAAATATGTATTCTGGAAAGGTGGAATGTCATGTAATTTGGTCTGTAGCCACAGTTTATGCAGAGTTATTGCCCTTTGTCATTTTTGATATCAGTTTATCCAGTTTATTACCTTCTTGCTTTTTCACCTACGTTCACTAAAGTTGATATAAATATGTATTCTGGAAAGGTGGAATGTCATGTAATTTGGTCTGTAGCCACAGTTTATGCAGAGTTNTATTTTGAGAAAGGTGTAGTATTGTCTACTGAAATCAAGTCTTATCAGAGTTCTGTCCCATTGTTCAATTTTGTTACAAAGTATTTTCCATCATTTTCATTTCTCGCAAATTTTCTTATATTTCGTCATTCATCCGTTTCTCCAACCTCTTATACATCAAATTGCTCCTTCAATCACAGAATAATATGCATAAAATCTAAGGCCAAAAACAGAAACTGGACTCTATTTCTGCCAAACTCTTAATTTTTTGTGGGATTTTCAAAGAAGTGCAAATGAAGTCAGATTACCAGCACCATATTCCGTCTTTGCGTATTGCAGAGTTATCTTCTCTTGGGAGCAGGTATTGATTGTTACGTCATTGGTTTGTGTGAGAAAATTACGTCGTTTTCTCAAAAATTGATGACGTTACTCTCACAAACCAATGACGTAACAATCAATACCTGCTCACAAGATAAGATAACTCTGCAATACGCAAAGACGGAATAACCGTAGTAAAATGAAATTAAAAAAATATTCTGGCCTAGCTTCCCTAATTGACATTTCATTGGAAACACCTATTTTTTTTACCAAGAAGTCTGAAGTGGTTGACAGCGTCAGTGAGTCAGGCTCTGAGAGTGAAGAAGAAAAAGTCTTGCGGAAAAAGAAAAAAGGTAGAACTCCTGTCAAGTCATCAAAAAAGAAAACTCCATCGAAAAAAACAGAGAAGAAAAAGATCCCATCTAAGGTACAGCATATATAGTAGATTTCACATACAGTTAAACTTCGATGTTTCAAACTTTACGGGACCAGAGGGGGAAATTTGAAACATAGCGACTCCGACTTAAGAACGTTTCTTTGAGATCTTGTATATTCTGCATGAGACCGACTGTGATTGTTAAGTGACGTAACACAAGTCAAGATATTCCATTTGAAGTAAATAAATATTGGATATAATGTAATTAGAAAAATATGGTTTGTGAATTTATACACTGTAGTTTACATGTTTAGATGTTAAAAATGACCCAGGGACATTTCAATGTTGTTTTACATCGATTTGTTAGTTGTTATTTTCAACGTTTACATAACAAACTTACTCAAAGTTCGAAATAGTGAGAAATTTGACTCATTAAGTTCAATTCATAAATTGAATATCAGTAGTATTATGTAGGGGAAAAAGTCTGGGCTTTGTTGGTAGTTCGACACCTCTAGAAATTTGAGGTGAATCTTTGAAGTTTGATTTATGGAATTTGACTGTAATAATGAAATCAACGATATGAATTTCAACACAATTCTGTCTCTCTGTATAAAACTTCATAGTTTCTACATGTTCAGCTTAATAATAACTAGACATCCTCTGTACTCCAGGGCTTACGCTTACTTACTCTCTCTGTACCCCTATATATGATTAAATACATAGAGTAAATACTTTCTCGGAATATTGTGAACCCACTTATGTACGTAACTTCACAAGTATTACATAGTATTTATGACTTATGTTTTGTTTAGAACTTACGGAGTAACTTACATAATACCTATATAGTAGCACTGTTTGGAACAAGATATTACATCACTGTAAATCCAAGCAATTATTAGGGCCCCACAAAATGCGGGTGCCCTATAGTAATAACGGTGTCAGTCCATCTGTTCGTCCATCGCTGTCTGTCTGTCTGTCTGTCCGTCCGTCAGCACTTTCGTTTCCAGAGATTATCTCATGATCCAGATGGCCAAAATTTCTGAAATATAAGGCCCTAACAGAAGGCCAAACTTTTTGAAATTTCTTATGATGATACACTGTGATAAACGTTGATGTGCTATAGTGGTTTAAAACATTCCTAGGTCAAGGTTGCTGTTACTTAAAATAGAATCGGGAATATGCTTCAGTTTGGTTTGGTTTGGTTTGGTTTAATTTTGTTTAACGTCCTATTATAACAGCTAAGGTCATTTAAGGACGTGACTCCATGTGTGTAGTGTGTGCTTCAGTGTTTGAATTGAAACTGCATTGTGTATTAATGAATTGTAATTTTGTTTTGTGGTTTTAGGTATCCAACACGGAGGGTGACTCCGACGAGACATCAGACGATGAGAAGCCATTGAAAACAAAACCTGGGAAAGTAGACAAGGTAGTGCATAAACCGACGTTGAGGTTAACTCCATTCTCACAGTAGAAGGAATGACTTTGAGTAAATTCTTTAGATATTGTTTATGTAGACTGCTTTAAGAAAATTTGAACATTCTTTGATGTCAAAACAAGAAAATGTTGCTAATGAGAAAAAGGACTTAACCCCCCCCCCCCCCCCCCCCCCAAAAAAAAAATCCAAAAAAATGTTGATTTACATAGAAAAAAACCAGGTTCTTGGCATCCAGTATTGAAATTGTGTGATGTACAGCAAGATAGTTGATAGGTATCACGTATATATACTGTATACCGGGAAATGTTCGCCCAGTCAAACTTTTTCGCCCTCCGCCCATGAAATCAATTTCCCCCGTTGTTAATTTCCTGCTTCATATTTGATTACCAGGTAATGTGCATTTTATGCTGTTTTCTTATATTCCCTGTAATGATAAGTTCACCTGCAGTACGGAGGGCGAAAAAAGGCGAAAATTAAACTGCAGGGAAACTTTCCTTGTGAACAGTCGCTAAAGAAAACTTTTCGCATTAGAAAAAGACAGGCATATAGCTTTGTTTCTTTGTGCACCCATTCTTTCTCTCGCTATCCTGAATGAAAAGTTTAGACAAAACAACATCGTGTTAATATTTTGAAATGGCTTCACCATCAAACTCTTTGATATGACATTAGAAACCTGTATTCTCTCATTCATGTGAGTAAATGACAACTGTCCAGCTGGGTAAGAAAGGGGTGTAAGAAATTCCTATCTTGCACCCCATTTTATGTTTGTGATGTTACTATTGGACAACAATGAAGTGACATCACGAAATCAGAACATTCCCGCAGCTGCGATGCGGAAATTGCGATGACTTTGAGAGGAGGGGGTCTTAGCTTCCAAATTGTCGTGATTGAAATGATAGAAAAACAATCCCTTGTGTAGGGATGTAGGTTATCTGGATAGGATAATTCTACCCTCTGGATTATCAAATTGTTTTAAAACCCTCAACAGAACCTGGGGTTTTACCAGGGCTAGAGAGTACGGGTAGCCCGATAGTCTGGCACGAGTGATATCTCTGAATAACTAGTCAAAATTTGATATTGCTGGTCTTGTTGAATAATATGGGTTAGTGGAATTTGCACACTGACTAGTAAAGATTGGAAACTACTATCCAAATTGACTAGTGGTATTCAAAATCAATTTCTAGCCCTGTTATTCCGTCTTTGCGTATTGCAGAGTTATTTTCTCTTGGGAGCAGGTATTGATTGTTACGTCACTTGTTTGTGAGAGTAACGTCATCAATTTTTGAGAAAACGAAGTAATTTTCTCGCACAAATCAATGACGTAACAATCAATACCTGTTCCCAAGAGAAGTTAACTCTGCAATATGCAAAGACGGAATACCCAATAAGAATATCCTTGGGGTTGAATTTCCCTTTCATACACCCCTGGGCATGACAGAGTAAAATTGATAAATTACCATTTGGTGAATTGACTGGTCTGTCCATCCTGCTACTTTAATAATACTGAATTTTATGTTCTCCTGTATTTGAATGCCTTGTGCAACCTTGTCAAAAAAGCAGTCACAAAAATATGACACCCATTTGATAAAAGATTCAAACCTGTGGAATGGTAGTTTAACTCATTCAGCCCTAAAATTTCATAATGAACTATTCCAACCTTTGAATTGGAAGAGTTCAAATGTATCTATAAGGGTGAATGTTTTAAGGTTTTATCAGAAAATATACTATTCTGTACATTTGAAAATTTTGTATCAATTTGAATGCTGCGGTGGTTAAGGCGTATGACATTCTGCAACCAATATCCCTCCACCACTGCATCACGGGTTCGAGACCTACGTTGGGCAGTCGCCAGGTACTGGCCGTAGGTCTGTGTTTTTTCTCTGGGAACGCCGGCTTTCCTCCACCACCAAAACCTGGCACGTCTTTAAATGACCATAGCTGTTAATAGGACTTAAAACACAAACAAACCAAACCAATGAATACTTTATAGCTTACAAAATGTGAAACAATAATTATGAGTCCAATTTTATCAAACATCAAATACATCAGCAAGTTAGGATACACTAATTATAGTTTTTATACGCCCGTCGAATTTCGTCGGACGTATTATGGAATAGCGTTCGAGGTTGTCCGTACGTCATGCCGTCCGTCCTGCTGGTTAAAGTTTGGGTACAAGTTTCTTCAGTGGTCTACAGTTCAGTTAGAGCATGTGTTATTGTCCTAATTTCTGGCATGGATGTTCATGTTGGGTCTATGAAGGACAATATGGATTTAATTTGGGAAAATAATTTCTATTTTTGGAAATTTTGGACATGTTTGGAACTTAACCTTTTCGCACAATTTCTCGGTTAAAGTTTTGGTGCAAGTTTCTTCAGTGGTGTACACAGTTCACTCAGATCATGTGTTATTGTCCTAATTTCTGGCATGGATGTTCATGTGGGGTCTATGAAGGACAATATGGATTTAATTTGGGAAAATAATATCAATTTTTGGAAATTTTGGACATGTTTGGGACTTAACCTTTTCGCACAATTTCTCGGTTAAAGTTTGGGTACAAGTTTCGACAGTGGTGTACAGTTCAGTCAGATCATGTGTTATTGTCCTAACTTCTGGCATGGATGTTCATGTTGGGTCTATGAAGGACAAATATGGATTTAATTTCGGAAATAATTTCAATTTTTGGAAATTTTGGATGTGTTTGGGACTTTACTTTTCTCGCGCAATTTCTCAGTTAAAGTTTTGGTACAAGTTTCGACAGTGGTGTACAGTTCAGTCAGATCATGTGTTATTGTCCTTTTTAGGTACTTAAAATATCAAACAAACACAAAATCATTGCATAGGGTCGAACGAGCGTATTATGCATCCGTTTGCGGTGCTCTTGTTATTAGCAGGTTAGCAAGTGTAGATGAAATAGCATGAATTAGTTAATGTACACTTATCATATATATATATATATATCAAATGGTGTGCTTCAGCAGTTAAGCATATGCTGATCGTTTAGTAACAATTACCATTATAGCATACACTGAATATTTTCAATTGACACAAAATAGCACAATTTAGCATACACTGACCATTTAATATCAATCAACATTTCATGTTATTTCAATAAATTTATTAGTTGATAGATCATTTAATTATTTGGTAAAATAAATATTTATAAAATTAAAGTTGAACAAATAATGACTTTCAGTGACATAATCATTGTGTTCTTGTGTATTTTAGGTATCGGACAATGAATCAGACCCGTCCAGTTCTTCAGAGGACGAGAAACCATTGAAAATTAAATCTGGAAAAGGTGGTCAGGCTGTAAAAGACAAGGTACATCAAGTATGTGAGGATGGTATTTAAACAATGCTATCAGGGGGTTACCTGGGTACTGTCATAATGAGAATCACACAGCTTTCTGTTGTAATAGGAATATGTAAAGGTAAAACTAATAACTAGTACTTGTAGTAAATGCAGTCAAAACTTCAGAAGAAAAAGAGTGGTACCCAGAAATTAATATTTTACTCCTGGAATAAAGTTGCAGTTTAATAGTTTAATGATGTTGAATAATAGGCAAAAACCTTTAAAATGCTATGTTCAACAAGTATTCGTTCAAACACTTTATTATACAAAGTTGGAGTATAAAGTATGCACTTGAGCTTGCGTGTATCTGTTCATTTGAATTTTTGTCTTATACATTAAAACAGATTCATAAAATTCGGTACATTGGAAAACAGTATCACAAAGCAAAATTAGGTCACTGTGACCTATATATTGACCTGTGATTTCAATCAAGAAAAAAATGTTTCTGGACAATAAATACTTTATATATATAATAATGGGATGGTACATGTAAGGAAGATGGAGTGTCACTGTGACCTATATTTTGACCGCTGACCTTAATCCAGGGAAATTGTTTCTGGAGCATTTCCCATAAAGTTGTCCATGTAAAATGATATAAATCATCAAATCTAAAATGAAATCTCACCAAACATTTAGTGCAACTTAGTTATGTCTAGATTTGCTTCTGTACAGGGGATCTCCAGAGTTGTATATTTAAATTTGCTCATGATTTCAATGTATGGGAGCCACGCCACAGTGGCTGAGTGGTTAAGGCGTCTAACCATCTGTGATTACTTGTCCTCCACCACTGGGTCACAGGTTCGAGGCCTACGTGGGGCAGTCGCCATATACTGTCAGCCGGTCGATGGTTTCCCTCTAGGTGCTCTGATTTTCCTTCGACACCAAACCTGTCTCGTAGCTGTAACAATAAACTGCAACAAGCTATAAAGCAATGAGAAACCAAACCAACCCGATGCTATATATATTTACGAGGATTATCCATGTTATATATATCTAGGTTTGGTACAGCAGTGTCATCAGTGACAACAAATAACTAAATGTTTGCTGTAATTGTTTGTTGATCAGGATTCAAGCAGTGATGCCGATTCCTCTGCATCCTCTGAAGAAGAACCACTCAAACCGTCCAAAAAGATTGGCAAAGGTGGACGCAAGGCAGGAAGTTCAGAAAAGCCTAAGGTAGGAATCAATAAAATTGTTTAATGAAATGATGAAAAATCACTGCACATTGATGTCTCGGTATTACGTAATGCGGAGTTAATTATGTTAACAATATAGCTATGAGTATTTAGTCATTTTAAGTTCCCTTGGCCTATAGGATGTCTGCTTATAGAGTGATTCAACTTCTTTTGTCTGTTGACCTTTCCTATAAAAGTCTACTCCCTTTGCACTGCTGATTGTATTTCAACCAACTTTGGTCTGAAACATCACATGGCCAAAAGGCCCCAAACCTCCCAGTGTAGAAGAACAGGGCCTTAAAGGGGAAAGAAATGAATACACTTAAACAAAATCTTGACCCCTATTTCTGAAAAACTCTGAAAAACTTCGAAAATTGAAAGTTGTTCTGAAAAGTATGTATGTTACACAAACATCTAGTTAAAGGCAGAAATCTTTATTGTAGGTAATATACACCAGTAAGAAATATATTGATCAATACATGTGAATTAACCAAGGAGCATCAACATCTATTCCTTCAATATTTTACTACAGCTGTAAGGGAAATGCAATGAATAGCTATATTTAGTAGCATTAAATAATTTTCAGTTTTAGATAATTAGGAAACATGCTATAGTTGTGATGGTAAATTACCCAAAATCCAGGTGATAATAAAACAATCTGATCATTTGTCATTAGAGTAAGTCAAGGTCAGGAGTTCGGAAGCGGGAGTCGCATGTCACAAAGTTACGGAAGATTTGTCGTGAGGCGGGCATCTTCATCCGCAGCAACCGAGAACTTGAGGGCTGCAAGACGGATGCCCATATTGTAAGGAGAATCAAGCAGATCCTCGAGAAACACGGAATGAAAGGTAAACAACACATTCTGTTATGCAGACATTTTGCTTAATGCTGTAAAAAGAACATTGATATTAAACATTTCTATAGAGGAAACTTCACTTTTACGGAATGTAATTAGTGCAAATATACATGACTTGGTAGCATAGTGGCAAGCACACTCGCCTTACACTAAGACAGGCAAGCATTCATTCCCCATTTCGGAAGTGAATTGGTATTATTTAGCCTGCAAGACCATGTGGTTTTCTCAATGACCGTGTCGAGAATGATCAATGCATCATCTTGATCATTGCGATCGGCCAGTCAGCCTCCGTTTCAATCTGTTCTTGTTGTTTTGGTCAAAGTTCAACTGGTTGAATCAGTTACACTAGATGCTGGACTGAAAATGGCAAAAATTTCTCTTCATACAGTTTGAGAAAAACTCTTAATGTATTGCAGTAAATTACATGAAGTATATATATACCCATCTGTCTTGTAGGAAAACCGAACATGAAAAAGGCAAAGAAGATCCGTCTGAAGAAGGAGGCGGCAGAACTTGATACAGACAATATCATCAGTAAAGACGAAGGTAGGGAATAACCTATTGTTGCTTAAATAATGATAAGAGGGAGGGATTCAAGCATTAAATGAATTGATGATAAAGATTAAAAAAAAAATTTGAAAGGAATGACTTCAAGTTTTAGGGGTTTGAGATTTGTGCATCTACAGGGTTAGAAATAAATTTTAGAAACCATTAGTCAGTTGGGCTAGTTGTTTCCAATTTTACTGGTCAACGTGTAAATAAAGTAACCCAGCATTATTCAACAAGATAGATGATACCAAATTTTGACTTGTAAATCGAGCTGGTGGGTTTTAGAACAATGTCCAATGTCCGCTAGTAGACGTTCAGTGAAGTTCAGCGTACCCCAGTTGATAGATTCCTAAATGGAATTCACTAGTCGGCTGTAAGAGTAATAAAACATTCTCAAGAGGAAAAGACCAGACAACATCAAATGGGGAGTCGCGGCAAATGTAATCCAGTTTACATGTTTCGGCCAACAAGGTGGGCGTCATTAGAACAACAACCAAATTTCAAAACATACCTAAAGCGGTGCCCTGCCTAGCAACAAACACCAAACTGTATGTAGTGACGTCTACAAAAGTAAAGATATAAGATTGATGCCCTAGTATAGTAACAATGTCTGTGGCAAGATGGTAAAAAGTGTCTTTGGTTTTAATTAATTGATTAATTATTTTTCTTTAATTAATTTATGAAAATAAACTTTGTTACTTTTCAGGACGGCCTAAAAGGAGAGTAAACAGTCTTTTTTCACGAAACTCGCCATCTCCTATGAAGAACTTCACTCCACCTAGAGTGAAATTTGGTCGTCTGAAGGACATTATTGAAAGTGATGACTCAGATTAACTTAATTAATGTTTATTACCTGGTATGACAATTAATAAATATTTAAGTACTTCACACAACGAGCCTGGCACTGAGAGGTTGGTGTGTGAAAACTCTAATATGTTTTTTTTAAAGGTACTCAGATATTGTATTTATTCTTATATGGAAAGATTGACCGATATATATTTATTACCCTGTGTTTGGAAATGTATTTTTGTGTACTGTGCTGTTGCAATTTTTTTATCGGATTTTCCTTTCATGAATGCACCCCAATTCACGTATTTGTTTGCGTCACAAACTTTTTTTCACTTCAGGAAGAAAGACCAAAACTTCAACATTTGTTCCTACTTGTCAAATATGAAACAAAGTAACAAAGTTCCTGTGTCGGTCAGATTGTATATTTCTGCTGCATGTGGTGGTAGGTTGTAATAAAGAGGGGTGATCTGACATAGAGGGGTGATCTGGGGTGATCTGACATAGAGGGGTGATCTGACATTGAGGGGTATGTCGTAGGCATATATTTTGATTGATTTGTTGTATTTTTGAACGTAAACATTTTTAAGTAGTTGTGTGATGTCTGTTTTGTGTAGCATGTGATGAGAGTATAAAGTGACTCTCTCATGAAATGAACGACAAATCAGCTGTCGACATGTTGTAATGGTTAGATATTTTGTTCCGGAGTGTATCACCTGATTACTGTGGTATTCAGTGGAGATACCCATGTCATATATTTTACATGTGAACTCACATAGTCCGTATTAAAATTTAGAATTTTCACACCATAGACAATTATTGAACATTGATTTTTTACAGACCTCATTCTAGATTTTATTAAGATTATCAATAATGAATCAATTTTTGTCTCGCCACCACGAAGTAGCGGAAGCGAGACGAAGGTGTTACTTTTCCGGCGCCAGCAGCGTCAACATTAAGTTTTTGAGTTTAAGTTAGTTTCACTGAAAGTAGAAGTGCTACACCAACCAAACTTGGACCATGCATGCATCTTAGGTAGTATATCTAGACCCATGCATCAAATGCTGAATGTGCCCTGACTTTCATGGTCCATTGACTTTGTCAGCATCTCCAACAACATTAAGATTTTGCGTTTCAGTTGGTTTCTCTGAAACTATAAGTGCTAGACCAACCAAACTTCACATGTGCATTGATGGTCAAAGCGGGGCACAGGCGAGACATATCAATCCGAATGGCTTGTTCATTAAAATTTTAATTTGAAATAGATTTGAAGCCTTTGTAATTGATGTCTATAAATTCACGACATATTAATTAGTCCAGATTCAACTTTAAAGTCGTTTTGATAATGGAGTTGTTTCCCTTTGACTTTCGTTGACAGGAAACATGCATGTACACAGAAGATATAAAAAGAGCTTTCAGAGATAGAAACATTTGCCTGTTCTTGAAATAGCTGTTCTTGAAATATTGCAAGATACCCAGCATTTGTTTACGATCAGTGAAATGTGGTATGTGTATGAAATGGTATGTTTGATATTTTACCGCAATTGTGTGAGGTAATTGTATGATTTGTTGGTAATGTGTAGCATATGCATATTGGTTCGTGTTAAATGAAAGTCAAATCATGTAGATATCATATAATGTATAAATATTCTTTACTGAATTTTCGCATGATTTCCCTGTTATTCTGTAAAAACACTTTGCCCCATTTTGCATTTGAACTCACGTCATATAACCTGTTGCGGCTTCATAAAGTTATTACTTAATTATGTCAAAGAACTCCAGATTATATTATGATGTCATAACGGAGAAAAAATACATGGGACCAAGATGGCAGATATTTTAGAGTTAAGAAATATGGCACTGAAAGGAATATTTTTCAAAATATTCAAATTAGTTTCATTAATTATACCTTTGTGACTAGGCGTCGAGGGAATATAGGTATCTCCCTGTTCGTTCGTTCATTCATTTGTTCCTATGTGCGTAAGTGTCCCAAATGGCGTCACAGCTCCACAGTGTGGCTACTATTCTACCATTCAACAGATGATGATAAAAAGCATCGCTATTGAAATAAGATGTTGTTGCATGTCTGTTCTGTTAAAATCATATATTGTATTTTATTAAGATTGACCAATAATGAATGAATTGTTCATTAAACTTATAATTTTAAATAGATTCCAAGCGTTTGTTATTTGTTCACATATATATATATAGAAAAAATATGACATCCTTGTCACGATCAACTTTTAAGAAATTTTATATTGGAGTTGTTTCCCTTTGACTACTTTCGTCGACAAGAGATCTATACTAATAAGATACAAAGATAGCTTCTACTTCTACTTCTAAATGGTACTGACCAACTTCAACAATTTGAAGATAAAATGTCAGACGAGGAGTGAAACATGGAAAGAGATTGTTTTTAAAAGATACGAGATGGTCTAATTTGCGTTTGAAAGGTGACGGTAGAGGGCTGATTTGAATAATTCCGTTGTGGGGCTCGAAATAATGTCAGGTGGGAGTTTATTCCACTCGGGTATAGTTCGAGGGAAGAATGATGCCTTTCTGGTCTGGGTTTTTGAGTGGGGAATTTGATACGAAAACTGGTGGTTTGTTCGGGATTTTCTAACTGTAGGGATTAATCTGTCTGATTTTACGATAGCGACTTTCTGGTTTACAATGTTATGAAGCATGGTCAGACGAGCATCTCTACGTCTATCTGCTAGAGGGCGCAGCTTTAGGTGGTCCAACATTTCTGACACACTGGAGGTACGATGGTTGTACCTGTGCTTATTGAGCACATAGCGCGCTGCCCTTCGCTGGACCATTTCCAACTTGTCAATATTTGTTTGGGTGTGAGGGTCCCATACTGTACAGGCATACTCAAGTGATGGTCGAACTAATGATTTGTATGCCTGTACTTTGGCTGATGTTGAGCCAATTTTAAGATTTCGTCTTAAAAAGCCTAGCGTAGAATTTGCTTTTGGGCAGATAGTATTTATATGTGAATCCCATTTAAGGTCAGATGATAGTGTTACACCCAGATACTTGGCCTGACTAAGATGTTCCAGTATGTGTCCATGTAAAGTATAATTATGGACTATTGGAGTTTTGTTTTTAGTCACCGACAACACATTGCATTTGTTTGGGTGGAAGATCATTTTCCATGTATTTTCCCAGAGCGCTAGTTTGTCAAGATCTTTTTGAAGTGTTTCAGCATCACTGTTTGACTTGATAACTAGATATGCAATAGTGTCGTCTGCAAATAAACGGATTGTAGCATTTAGACCCACAGGGATATCGTTTATAAAGTAAAGAAATAAACTGGGACCCAAAACTGACCCCTGAGGTACCCCGGAATGGACATCGACGAAATCAGACTTCTCCCCTTCAACTACTACTGTCTGAGTTCTACCGGTCAGGAAACTCTCGTTCCAGTTTGCGACATTTCCACGTATACCATAATGATTTAGTTTATGGTTTAGGAGAGAATGACTGACCTTGTTGAAAGCCTTAGCAAAGTCCATTATGAGGATATCTGTTTGGCGTCCCTCATCAAGATTCTTTGAGATGTCATCCACAAATTCAAGAAGTTGGGTTTCGTATGACCGCGATTTGCGAAAACCATGTTGGAACGGATACAATATGTTATGGGTATCGGCATGGGTCATGATAGCTTGGAGAGAGGAATGAAATGGTTTCAATATTGCCCGACATGAGTGTTTGAAGACTTCATCTGTCAACATCATTTTTTTTATTTTATTCTAAACCATTGAAAGTTCTATACATAGGCCCACTGACAACAGCCATTTTGATTTTAAATTCATACAAGTATTTTGGTCTTAACATACAGTGCAGTAAATCTGGTTTCTATCGGAATATATCTACCTCATCAAGTATGTCATAAAAACAAAAACAAAAACATTTACATATGTACATTATTGTGTTGTAGTATGGAAAGACTGTTATGAGTTGTAAAAAACTTATCTGAACCTCTTTGAATCATTTGATCAATAAAAAATGTTTAAACTACAAAGTCCGCTATCTGCCGAGGTTCCAAAATATTTTTACTGGTATATTACTGTACAGAAAAAAGAAATAATAGACTCCTGTTTTAATTCCGGTTGTTTTGACGAGACTTTGGATTGATCAGTGCATTTTCATACAACTGTTATTTATTAAGGCCAGTTACCACTGACCTTTTTATCAGAAACTGGCGTTTGGACATCAGCCCGGAAAATCCATTCACCTATCTATTGTGGTGCAGAAAGTTTAAGAGGATACAGAAGTAATGGAGCAAATGATGGATTCGTTTGATGTGACCATTATCGGGATTATTGTATGTCAACTTTCTGTACTAGGTGTGTTTGGGCCAAATACCTATTTAATGACTTAAGTTTAAAGCCTGTCCCCCAGTCCTGTATTACAGAATGAACCGATATCCCCCCTAGCTACTACACCAGGATATAAAAAGATGGCTGACTTTACAAAATGAGAGTAATGTCTTTTTTAAAGATGTATACAGTTGACAGACGATTTGAGGACATACATACTTACTTAGATACGAACCATGTGTTGAATCATTCGTCAGCCAAGGGCATTGTGACCTTGGGCATACATACATTTTCATATCAAAGCTACTATGATAGACTAGGTACTTAGATAGCATTCTAATTCCGTGGATAAGGTAAAAAAAACAAAATCCAGCTGAGATTTATAAATTATTTCTAGGGATTTTTTTTTTTTACTTTCAATATTTAATGTTTGTAATTGGAAAATGAACTTTCGAAACTTTTACCCATGTTAATTGGTAATAGGGGTTTCAGATGTGAGAATTCCGGGTCTCAACAGATCACAAAAATTATCGGTGCATGTAAAAGCATGACAACAGGTATCGTGGCAACGGGGATTATGGTATACAACCGCTTTGAAACTTACATCAGCTTTCATTTAAAATAGATCATGCCCTTTGTGTAGATAATCAGTTTGCGTATCATCTTTCTACAAGCTGACCTTTTGTTGAGCAGACGACACTTGGTGGTTTGTGCAGTTGTACCATTGTTAGCTTACAATACGTTTTGTACGAGCTAAAATGTACGTGTATTAGCTATATCGTGCAAGCTCACAATACTTGTGTACATTTGTATCAAGTATGCTAACCATACGTTACAGCTAGATCAGCAGACTGCAAATTCCAGACCTACCCTGAACACAGCGGGCATATATATATTTTTAATTTAAATGTGGTAACCAGGTTTGCTTGGAGAAATTTTGAAAGCTATCGACGTGAGACGAGGAAATTATCACCAGACCAAATCGAGAGTTTGGCTATCGGCCTCTATTAAATAAACAGTTGATTGTTAAAGTATTTTATATTTGCATTTATGACAAAGCTCACGTGAAGTGTTGTAGAAGTATGGAAGAGATTTTTTTATATGGGTGAAAAGAACGGTCTAGCACACAAACTAGTAAATCAATATGCACAACAAATTGCAAACTATCACGCTAAAACTCCTCTAACACACACAAGAATCTCACGCTAAACAATGGCTGTACATACATATAATACCTATAACTGAACCCGAAATGTGATTTTGTCAATAAAACATGCACTTCTTGAAAACTAATCGTGGAAAATTAAGTATTGCAATCTAAACGTAATTCAATTAAAAATATAAATAAGCTAGGCTGTCTGTCTCGGGTTGAAAAGGTCGAAAAGTTAATGCACCGAGTTTTTTTAAAATGCATTTTGAACTTTTTCTCACGCTAGTAGGATGTTTTAAATGGGATCATTTCCTCAATTAAATTCCTACGTACTTTATAAGTGATATTAACATCAATATTTATATAGGTATCTTCGTAGATAATCTAAGTTTTCTCGCTGGTGGATTCTCCAGGCTCTGAGCAACAGGGTCCCAGTGCATGAGGTTACGAGAGATTGACGCATATCGACTACTGCATCAACTACAGGACACTTCAGTGTACTTGCTCACATGTACTGGGATGTGTTGGGGCTCTGTGAGGGGAAATGTTAACATGAGTAGCTTAAGCACATGTATAAACGTCCAGTTGTAGCCAACAGATGTAAATTGATAGTGTTATAAAGGGCACCTGTTCTTTTCTAGGGTTGCCACGATACGATACGTATCACGATACAAATTTCTGCTTAAAAGGTCAACTTCATAATGATTGAGTGCAGGATTTTATTGAGTTTTTGTAATAGACTTCCAACAGAAAATAATATCGAAATGTATTTTGTGTGATTTCTAGAACTTTTGGGTATGTCTGCACAGTGGACCACAGCGTTACTGAAGGATTCAATAAATATGAGTTCACTTTTTTTAGAGTTTGTTAGAAATTGGTTGATGATTTAAGTACTGTTAGTGTATCGCAATACAGACAATCATTTTTTTTTTTATATGATACATAATAAAGTATCGTGATACGATACGATACGATATATCGTTGCAGCTCTATTCCTTTCCCTTGTAGTCTACATATGTTTTGGAGCATCTTGAGACATGGTTTTTCTTTTTTCTATTTCATCTTTTGTACCACGGATGAGTCCTGAATAGAGGAAAATGACCATAAGACGCAGTTTTCAAGATTGTCTTTCCTTTTGTATTCGTGTTTCTCATTAGTGGTTTTCCCCCATAAGTTTTGTTGTTTCCCGATTCGGGTTTTCTTTCTTTTTGTTTTTATGATTCCAATTTGTGGTTATCTCTACTTTTGTGTTGGTGTTTCCCAAATCGGGTTGCCTTAAAATCAGTTTTGTTGTTTTCCAGATGTCTTTCGCTCTGTGTTGATACCTGTTCAATTCCCATTGTATTAATTAGTGTCGAATTTGAGTAAGGAATTGGTACTATTCTCAATCTAACTTTATGAGTCCTTCTGAAATCAGGGGATTGGAGAAAACAAGCTCGAACGACGACACACCCTTCTGATATATCAAAAGCTGTCCGAAGGGAAAGTCCGTTACTCTGTGTCTGCTTTGATGAGCGAGTTACTTATTATAAATGATGACACATCGTTGATATTTATGATAGATATTCTTCAAGGTAACGTATCTACTTCTTGCTGGTCGATGTTAAATTGAGTCTAGTAAGAATTTATATTTTTATGGTGACATATGTGCGTTTTATTTCGTTAGTTATTATTCATATTGTTGATTT